GACGAGACCCAGGGCTGCGGGGAACTGGAGCCGGGATTCCGCCCGGGGACTGGCGGCCCCGCCCGCGGCCACACCTGCTATGGCGGCGGTGGGGGCGTCCCTCAGCCGGGGAGCGAGGTCTGTGCCCCCCACTCCCTCGAGGACCCAGACCCCGCGCGCCCGGGAGACACAGGCCTGGAGGACCGGGTCTCAGCTGGGGGGCCCCGGGGGCACCTTTTCATCCAACCCCAGCAGCAGCCACCATTCTCCTCCCACAGCAGTTAAATTACTGCTTCAGCCAGTGGCGCGTGGCCCTGGCCAGTTAGCAAGACGCCCAACCAGATCCCGCCGCCAGCCAGCAGGGGCAGCTCCTCCACCAGCCAGGACCCAGGTCAAAATGTGCCCACTTGTCCGCCCAGAGGGCCAGCAGCTCCAAGCACCAGTGGCCGCAGCGGCCTGGTGTTCTGGTCCCTTCCTCAGACCTTTGTCCACAGGCTTAATGCCACCTCCTGGCCCCTGGCTGCCCCCAAACTGGAGGTGCCACTGGCCAGGCTCAGCCGCTGGCAGACTGGACGACCCCAGGCTGGAGCCTGACAGTCACCTGGCCACCGTCTGGACAAAGCCCCCCTCCCCGCCCCGGGCTGGGCCCCCAGGTAAGGGGCTTGGGGCTCACTGCTTTCTTTGCACAGTTGCTCCCTGCTAGAGCTCCCGGGTTGGTTCTGTGTTGTGCCGCAGGGACCGTTAGGCGACCCCTGGACGCCCCGATGCGCCTGGGCCTGAGGGGCCTCCCCTGCTAGGCCTTCGCTGCCCTCTCTCCTGGGCACCTGTCCTTATTTCTGCCACTTCTCGGCAGCCCCCCGCCGCTCAGAGGGTTTTGCCTGTTGCTTGCTGAGGAAAAAACCCCATACCTGGTGGAAGACCCCACCAAGGCCCAACTCTAGCTCACACTGTGCCTCCTTGGCCAGGTTCCGGTTACCACACATGATGGCCAGCTGGGAAGGGAGCTGGCTGCAGGGTAGGGGTGAATTCCCAAGGGTGCGCTCTCAACTCCCTCTCCCATTCTTCTCCCTCTCCCCTCTTTTCTCTCAGCATTTGCACCTTGTTCCTGTCCACTGCTCCTACCTCGGGAATTCATCCCTCCCCAAATCATGACATTGATCTGCTCACTGGTCATAAGATCTAACCTCACAGGAAATCAGGAAAGTGTCCCAAAGATTCCCTCCGGGGTCCATTCGCAGGAGTTGGGGCAAACTTCGGTTGCAGGAAAAAGCCCGTGCTCATCTGTGACCCCGTCTGGCTCCGGTACATCCCGGTACTCCGGGGGCTGCCTAGGGGCCACCCAATAGGAAGCCACAACACAGCCCAAGCTTCACTGCAAGGGAGAGCAGAAGGGGAGAAACCTGGCCTGCGCAGGCATTTGTGAGGGGAACCCAGGACCCCAGTTTAAGCAGAGCTCGCTGAGTATTTGCAGGCTCTCACCTCCCTCCCCAGGCTCACCAGGGAAATAGGGAAGAGGCCCTCCCTGGTGCGCAAGGGGTTGGAGAGCAGCACGAGGATGCAGCTGTCCATAGCCCCTGCAGCACGAGTTCGATCCCGCCCAGGGGGCGCAGACCCCTCCTGTCTCCCCGCTGCTCCCTCAGCGGTGTGTTGCCGTCCATTTGCCTGTTCTCCCTACTCTGTCTCTGGTGAACCCTCTCGCATCAGCCTCTGGCCTGTTCCCCAGATCTGTGTGCATAAATAAATAAATCTTTAAAAAAAGAAAAAGAAAAGAAAGTTCCATGGCCAAAGGCCCCTTATTGAACTTGATTGGGGGGCTCCCCCTGATAGCAGCAGGGAAGAGTCCTCTGGGGGAACCTCGGTGCTGGCGGCGCAAGAGGGTGGGGTGCTGAAAGGGAGACTCCTCCCCTGGGTGGAAGGAGGCTGTGAGGGGCAGGGCCTTCACCACCTCGCCCTATGGCCCAGTGGGGGACCCCCAAACCTTGAAGGAACCCTAATGAAACGGGGTCCTGGGGTGATCACCTCCGGCACTGCACCTGTGCCTGGGTAAACTGAATTCCTTTAGAAGTCAATACAGAAGCCACTTACTGGATTTTAATTCGACCTCCAGGCCCACTTTCCAAAGCCCAATGTCTCATTATGGGGGTGGAAACCCTGAAAAGAAAAAATGCACACTCAACCCTGACCTGCACCCTGCCCCCACTCACAGAGGCAGAACCCCGGCTTGTTGGACTAACAGCGCCCCCTTGTGATGACGGAAGAGGAAGCCCCGCGGTTTCCCACGCGTTTTCAGACAAAGAATTCCTGCGGGGTTCCCCACTAAGCCCAGTACCCACTGTCCAGTAAAGCCAAAAGAGAATAAAGCCGGTGTTTGACCAGCTGGACAAGGGTGGACTTGCAGTTTCTTGCAGCGGGCCCTGCGATATTCATTCTCCCTGTCAAAAAGCCCACAGGACGCAGGTTGCGCAAGAGCTGAAGGAGGCGGTCATCCCACAATGCGGTCATCCCACGCATGCCGTCATCCCACAATGCGGTCATCCCACGCATGCCGTCATCCCACAATGCGGTCATCCCACGCATGCGGTCATCCCACAATGCGGTCATCCCACAATGCGGTCACTCTGAGCCCCTGCACCTTGCTGGCTCGCAGTGCAGGAGGGTCGTGTCGGCCCACGTCCCTCTTTGCTTCTGCACTAACGGGAGACCCCTGAAGCATGCAGGCCGCTGGCACTCCCGCCTTTGCCCAGGGACTCCAGGGCTGTCCCCCACCTGCTGAGTCCCAGGGCAAGTTCGGGACAATTAGGCAACTTCAGGGCAGTGCAGCCAGGGAGCTCAGGAGAGTGAAGGCAGGCTCCAGGGGTGAGGACAGCAAATTCCAAAGGGCACCAATCAGGGTAGGGGCAGCAGGACGTTCCAGGACGAGGATGAGATAGGGGCTGGCACAGAGACCTGGCTCTGGGCAGAGACGTGAAGGCAGCGCCAGCGAGACCGCCGAGAAGGCACCAGCCACAGAGAGACTGGCGGGGCGTTAGAATAATCGGGAAAGGTCAATATTCCCTGACTGCCCTTCGCCTGCTTTGCTGCTCCCTGGCCAGCCTGAGCCCCACTTTATTCTGTTCTTTTTCTCCTTAGTAAACTTCTTCCTTCTCTAAACAAATATGCCCCTTCTCACTTGCTTGCCTGAGCATCAGTGACGTTCCCGCCTGTGGGGGTCTAGTGGGACTCAGCACTGCCCCCGAGTCCCGTTCCGGCCGGACACTAGGCCTGAGAACCCCAACTCACGGCGCCATCTGGAAATGCCTGGGGACAGGTGATGTGACCCCAGGGGCACAGTCCAACGTGCAGGTCATGTCCTCACTGCTGGCCCAGCAATGGACGCTGCTGAGAGACACCGTTCTGGTGATTCCTGGTGGACTAGGCCACTGTTCTCCTGAAAGAAAGCACAACACCCCACTCACGGCACAGTATTTGGGACAGGACATTTGCCAGGGAATCGGGAAACTCATAAGTGGGAGGAAGCCATCACCCTGGCCTCTGGGTCCTGCTGGATTTGGGTTCTCACCATGGCCTTACTGCAAAGCCAGACGCCTTTTATTGGACCCCAAGTGTACAGCAGCCTTTGAGGAACTTAAGACCGTGCTCACGGGGCTCTGGAATGGGGGGTGCTAACTCAACGGCGGGGGGGCCCAGAAACCATGCCAATGGTGTACCAGCTAGATCCGGCTGGCCAAGGCTGGCACCTGCCTTGGTGCCCTGCTACCACCCTACTCCAGGGCGCCAGGAAGTTGACTGGGAGTCGCTGACCTATGGAAGCCCCAGCCAGGTCTCCGCCTTCCTTGAAGAAGGCGAGGAGGAGGAGGAGGCCCAAGTTCTCCGGACTCCAAAATGCCTGTCGGAGCCATCAAACCCTTAGAAGAGCCCCCCCTTCTCCCTTCCTTTGCAGAGTCTGTGGGACAAATCTACTCTAGCAGAATGAGCTTGCAAGAAACTGCTTTTTTAAAAATATATAACAGTTTATTTTTACATCATTTTGTGCCTTTTTCCATCTCAGTTATAATCCCCTTGGGCTTCCCATCACCAGATCAGCCATGTGCCATCACCAGAGTCCAGGGCATTTCCTCCCTGCCCCCCCGTTTTTGATCCCACTCCCCACTCTACCCCCACAAATGTCTCTGGTCTATGGCTGTTCATTACTATTATTTTCTTGCCTGGTCCGTTATACTCCCGCTGTAAGTGAAACCATCTGGTATTTTTCCTTTTCTTTCTGACTTATTTTACTAAGCATGATCTTTTCCAGCTCCATCCATGTTGCTGCAAAAGGTGTGTATTTTTGTTGTTGTTGCTGAGCAATATTCCATTGTGTATATGTACATCTTTTTTTTTTAAAGATTTATTTATTCATACAGAACTGGGGTACAGGTCAGAGATGTGGAGGGTGAGAGGATTCACCAGAGACAGAGTGGGGAACAGAACAGACAGATCAACGAAGTACACTGCTGAGGGGAGCAGCGGGCGGGTCAGGAGAGGTCTGCCACGCCATGTGGTCACCTCCGGGGCAGGCGGGAATCGAACTCATGCGGAAGCGGCTTTAGACTCTCAGTGCTGTGCTTTAACCCGCTGCGCCACCAGGGAGGGCCTATGTACATCTTTTTAATCCAGTCACCTACTTTTGGGCATTTGGGCTGCTTCCATGTTTTTCCAATTGTAAATAAGGCAGCAATAAACATGGGGGTGCAGGTTTCTTTTTCAATCAGTGTTTTTGTGTCTTTTGGGTAGATACCTAGGAGTGGGATTGCTGGGTTGTAGGGAAGCTCCATGTTTAGCAGTTTGAGGAACCTCCAAACAGTTTTCCATAGTGGTTGTACTAGTTTGCATTCCCACCAGCAGTGCAGGAGAGTTTCTTTTCTCCACATCCTTGCCAACATTTGTTGCTGCTAGTTGTTTTAAGGTGTGCCATTCTCACTGGGGTGAGGTGGTATCTCATTGTGCTTTTAATTTGCTTATTACAAGTGATTTGAACATTTTTTTCATATGCTTGTTGCCCGTTCGCATTTCCTCTTTGGAGAAGTGTCTTTTTAGCTCTTCTGCCCATTTTCTGGTGGGGTTGTTTATTTTTGTTGAGTTTCATCAGTTCTTTGTATATCTTTGTGATCAATCCTTTATCACTCATTTTGTGTGAGAAAATTTTGAAACTGCTTTTTTTTAAAAAAAGATTTCTTTTGCATAGAAAAACTGGGGTGCTGGCCAGAAGTGGGGGTATATGTGAGAAGATTCACCAGAGACAGAGTGGAGAACAGAACAGGTGAATCTACTGAAATCCACTGCTGAGGGGAGCAGTGGGCAGGGCAGGAGAGGTCTGCTGTGCCCTGTGGGTCACTCCGTGAACTCAGGCCTTGAGGTGGGCCTTCACGGTGCAAGCACTGAGACTTAACCCCCAGTCTGCCAGGGAGGCCTGAACTGCTTTTGATAACCCCGATTCTGAGTGGCCCACTGATGGGAACGGCTGTTAGAGCCGAAGTGGGCAGGTCTGGGTGTGCCATGAGCCTGTCAGATTTCTTCCTCCCAGCACCTCAGCAACAACGGCAGAACTCAGAGCTCTAACCAGAGTCCTAGAAGTGAAAAAGAGTCAGTGTCTAGAGAGAGTAAACATGTCGTTTGAGTGGGACATGGCTGTGCAGCCATCTGGAAAGAAGGGGGAGTCCAGGGGCCTCCCTGGTAGCCTAGAGGTTAAGTCTCAGCTCTCTTGCCGCCACACCCCAATTTTCAATCCTGCCAGGGAGGGATCCCCAAGGCACAGCAGACCTCTCCTGTCTCTCCGCCGCTCCCCTCAGCAGTGTGTTTCAGTGGATCTGCCTGTCCTGCTCCCCGCTCTGACTGGGGAATCGTCTCATAAGTACCCCAGCCCCCATTCCCAGCACTCTGGCCTATAACCCAGCTCTTCTATGCATAAATATATGTCTCAAAAAAAGGAAAGAAAGAATGGGGAATACAAATGCTTGAAATCCCCCAATTAAACATAGCCCAGAATCCCCAGGCTACAGGAAGCTGCCCAGACAGTGGTCATTCGCTATAAAGGAGACCAAAATAATCTGACCCATCAGGCCTGAGGTAACCGTTCTGTTGATACCACTGCAAAGAATGTAGCACCCCAGCCAGCGCCCCGCCCCATAACTAACACTGCACTGCTGCTTTTTTTTTTTT